GGATTATTATTCAATTTCTGAGGATTATTTTAAACTGCAATGGCTGCATATAAACATCAATAAAATCTGGTGAGATGTTGTCCAAAATCCCACATTCCCTGAGAAGCACACTTATTTATTTGCAGATCTTTGACGTGATTTGTAGCTGGTTATACTGCAACACTGAATGATAAATCATGAAAAGTGTCTGTTCTTTTCTAAAGAAGGAGCATTAAGGCACTCAACCATGACAGCCAAGAAATATAGTCTGTCTGTCTAAATACTTCACATTGAATCTCCTGCAAGTTGGATGATTTATAGATGTAGAAGTTGCAGTAACTCTTTCCCCCTTACGTTGCTCAACAAATCTGAGGCTTTAACGATTGCCATTTGTTAACGTTAAACATCTTGAGGTGAATTGCCTTACAAACCTGTCAATTCTATCTGCTTGGAGGGCAGTAGCCTGCTGCATGTCCGCTGCCCTGCCCGCCTCATCATTGGCGGTCGGGCCTTCAGCTGCCACCTCCCTCTGGAACTTCATCCCCCAAATCCCTCCACCTCGTCCCACTCTCTTTGCTTCCTTCAAGGCCCATCTCAAAGCCTTCCTCTTTTGCCTTTGGCTACCCTCACAGCCCCCTACCTCCACCCCTCCTGATTGCAACCCCAAGCTCAGGTGCAAACCCTTACTGTCCAGCGCTTTGGGACATCCTTACGTGAAATAGAGTATATAAATGTAATTTGTTGTAGTTTTGAATTATGCTGCTTTCAGGAAATGTACTGGTCTTGTAAAGTGCCATTAAAAAACATCTTCAAATAAATGTCACTACAGTAAGACCATCATCCTCACCCTCACTTGGATCTATTGGCTCCCCAGCTCCCTGCAGATTGAACTCAGGATCCTTGACCTCACTTTCAAATGTCTCCAAACCTTGGGTGAGCTTTCAGCCATTCTTATAATAATAATAATAATCCTTGCATTTGATATAGAGCTTTTCACGTCGGGAGGACGTCCCAAAGCGCTTCACAGAACACACTGTAAAGTGAATTGACTGTATATTTGTGGGCGAACGCGGCAGCCAATTGCGCACAGCAATGTCCCACAAACAGTCGTAGATTGAAAATGACCAATTTTTTTTATTATTGTTTTTTGGTTTTTTTGGAGGGATTATTATTATCTTGATACTCGTCAACAAGGTGATGTCTCACCACTGTAATCATAGACAGACTGCAGACATGGTTGGGAAGAGAGACTGCAGACATGGATGCAGTGGGCATGGAGAGAAGGAATAACATGACCAAATCCTTCTCCATTCTCTGGAACTCTATCCCTCTGCTTCAACCCCTCCATCCCTGTCTTAACAACCTACATTAAGACCTAACCTTTTGACCATACTTTAAGCCACTTGGAGCTCCTCTCAGGTTCTCCCCTCAGGGCTGTGTAAAGGAACATCTTCTCCATGTGAAAAAGCGCTATATAAACGTAAATTCTTGTTATGGGGGTGGGGTGCAATCACTGGCTAGGAGCCAGATTTAAAGATCTTGATAACATTACAGAATTGTTAATTTAAAGATAACATTACAGAATTTTTATTTGCAGAGGTTAGGTTGAACAGAGAAGCACATTTAGCTAATCTTGTGTTGGACTACTTCTAACTGAATGCTGACAGTAATTTGTCCAGACACGAATAAAGACTTTTATGTGTTTTTTAGGAGACAGAATATGCAGATGAAGCAAGTCTGAAAAGCACTCAGTGTATTGCTATAAAGCTAAATCACAAGAAACCCTCTAATTGTAAAGTCATACATTAGTGTGGTGCATATTAATTTAGAAACATATAAATTATTTTATAGTTTTGAAGCCTGTGCTTATGGTTTGATAAAATGCTTGAATTTGAACCTCATGTACAAAAGTTAAAATAAACTGAGGTAAAGGATTTCTGAACGCTTCTTCAAACTGGAGACGATTGAAAATTTCTGATGTAATAAAGTTTCGCTCTACATACAACCTGGGATAGGGCAGGAGATCACCAGTTAATTTTCTCAAGGGCATGACTACAATGTTTCTTCTCATTTCTATCATAACTGTGACTTACCTCTATAAAATTTTCATTACCCTTATGTCAGCAAGAATTATACATTATACAGGACAAATCCATTTAAGGCACACAATCCCTGCACTGCATTCCCTCCATTACCTATTGTACAGAACACAGATCCTTTTGGCTCAGGACTTTCCAATGGTCCTTTTGACATTAACTCCTTGCGCTGGCATTAACTGCAGAGAATTCCAGATTCCCTTGAGCCTCAAATTTCATTTGATGTTTTGAGTTCACACTTTAGAGTATTATGCTGAGATGAACACAAATAATTGCTGTACCACAAGTATTTAATTTGTCCAATCCAACTTTATTACTTCCCACAAAATACTCACAGTCACACCCCTTTATATTATATCATCTGAAGTGCTTTGAGACATTTCCACAATCGATGTGGAATGCAAGGATTATTATTACTGTAATATTTATCCCATTCGACAAACATACGTATTTCAAAAACAATTTGAAATAAAAATTTAAAAACGAATGGGTACACGTATCCAAGCAGTGGACAAAAAGATGGTGACGAGCATCTCAAGTATTTCATGCTCACAGGAAGCTCACAGAGAGTTGCTGGTTCCGGCTGTCCACCTACTGAGGGCTCAAACCTGAGATTGTCAGATGTCAAAGACCCAATTAGTGAATATCCTCCTTGGAAATTAGAGGGGTCTCTTTGTTGCCAAACATGTCACCTTGTAGCCAGTTCAGCTCCAGAGTCAGAATTGAGTCAACCCTCTGTGGCAGTCTTGGTATACCAGTTCCTGAGCCAGGCACGTCTGCATGAGTTGGCAAAAGCCAAGGCGCTGCTGATGACAAACCAGCCAGCCTGGCTCATTGGTACAGTAATTTGTATTTATATAGCTACCTTCACATGAGTAGCATCTGAATGCATTGGTAGGACTTGGAGGGGAAGGCTGGGGATCAGGTGTTGTGAAAATATGGAATGCACTAACCCTGAACTCAAAAAAAGCAGATTCAGTAAGCATGTTTAATTAAAGCAGGTGGATATATATTTACAAAATGGGTCTTATAATAACATTGTTGCTTTTGATTTAGCCCTTTACATCAAAATACTTCAATTTGTTTCACAGTAGTGACCATGTATTTTGAACGTGCATTCAAAGATATTGCCTTGTTCCTTTCCTCTTCCATATTCTCTCTTTCTGTCCCATTTTGAATCCAACTTTAAACATTTTTTTTGGACAAATCTATCTTATTTTTACATACTTTAAAAACGCCCAGTGCCTTGCAAGAACCCGCAGCCTTTCCCTTGGTGCTGTAGGAACCTGAGTGCCTGTTCACCTGATGCCTTGCAAAAACGACAATGACTCGCTTTATTTAGTGCCCTTCATGTGGGGTGGGGTCTCGAAGTGCTTAAGGAATGCTTACAGGAACTCGCACGATTGGCTTTGCACTAAGTGCCTGTCCACCTGGTGCCCTGCAGAATCCTCAGGCTTTGTTTTTTTATTAGTCTTTTATTAGTCAGCCTGGTGTTTAAGCGTAAGAATATGCTTAACAGTATCCAAACCTTTCCATGCACCTATATGTGGGAATTCCCATGATATTTATTGGAATGGAATGCACATTGTCTCCCTGCAGGGACGCATCCTGCTTACCTAATCCGGAGAGTATTAGACATTGGTTGGCAAGAGCCAAAGTTTGGGGACCCCAGAGTGTTTATTGGGGCACTGCTGGAGTCTGACCAGCTAAAGCCACAAAACTTACCATTGATATCGTTGTCTGTCAGGCTTTCCTGTTAGGGCTTTGGCTGCAGGGTTAACAGGAGCCGAGCGGGATGACTCCCTACCCCCAGTGACTGGTCTGCCCTTCCAGGTCCTGATGATGAGCAGACGAGCTGTGCTGACATCAGCAGTGCCCTGGGATACTGCGGACCCTCCTGGCTCTGGTACTGGACTGGAGACCGCCACAGAGGGCTGACTTGATTCCGACATTCCACTGCCAGACATGTCACCTCAGAGCCAGTTCATTTGCAAGAGGAACCCAGAAGGGAGGACCCTCAGGTTGGGAGGAACCCCAGGAGGGAGGACCCTCGGGCTGGGAGGGCACCCAGGAGGGAGGACCCTCAGGTTGGGAGGAACCCCAGGAGGGAGGACCCTCGGGCTGGGAGGACCCCCAGGAGGGAGGACCCTCGGGCTGGGAGGACCCCCAGGAGGGAGGACCCTCGGGCTGGGAGGGCACCCAGGAGGGAGGACCCTCAGGTTGGGAGGAACCCCAGGAGGGAGGACCCTCGGGCTGGGAGGACCCCCAGGAGGGAGGACCCTCGGGCTGGGAGGACCCCCAGGAGGGAGGACCCTCGGGCTGGGAGGAGTCCCGGGAGGGAGGACCCTCGGGCTGGGAGGACCCCCAGGAGGGAGGACCCTCGGGCTGGGAGGACCCCCAGGAGGGAGGACCCTCGGGCTGGGAGGACCCCAGGAGGGAGGACCCTCGGGCTGGGAGGACCCCAGGAGGGAGGACCCTCGGGCTGGGAGGAGTCCCGGGAGGGAGGACCCTCGGGCTGGGAGGAGTCCCGGGAGGGAGGACCCTCGGGCTGGGAGGAGTCCCGGGAGGGAGGAGTCCCGGGAGGGAGGAGCCTCAGGGTGGGTGGAGCCCTGAGAGGGAGGAGCCCCAGGAAGGAGGAGCCTCGGGGTGGGAGGAGCCTCGGGATGGGAGGAGCCTCGGGGTAGGAGGAGCCTCGGGGGGGTGGAGCCTCGGGGTAGGAGGAGCTGCGGGGGGTGGGAGGAGCCTCGGGGGGTGGGAGGAGCCTCGGGGAGAGGAGCCTCTGTGTGGGAGGAGCCTCGGGTGGGAGGAGCCTCGGGGGGTGGGAGGAGCCTGGGGCTGTGCTGCTCTCTCTGCCCAGTGTCTGTCAGCTGGCACTTGGCGGATGTGACGTAGTTGGTGCTAAGCACGCCGGGAGCGCCCTCCCTCCTTTCTCTGCCGAGCCGCCGCCATGTAAGCTTCAGCCGTGTGTCTGAGCGCCCGACAATCCGCCGCCATCCTCCCCTCACACCGGCCATCCGCGGCCCGCGGCGCCCCGGGGAGTCTCCCGCTCGGCCCCCGCGATCACTGCGCATCTTATTTGCACTTTACCGCGGGATGGAAGAGCTGAAACCCGGGGGGGGGGTGGGGATGGCTCTGGGGGAGAGCGGCCCTGGTGCTAAGGCCTCCGCGTGTGGACACGGGGAGAAGCGATAGCAGAGGCCGAGGCTGTGGGGAGGGTTAGTGCTGTGGCTGAGCCCCTGTCCTCTCTCTTCCTCCCCTCAGACTGACCGGAGATGGGCGCCTACAAGTACATGCAGGAGCTGTGGAGGAAGAAGCAGTCGGATGTGCTGCGCTTCCTGCTCCGTGTCCGCTGTTGGCAATACCGCCAGCTCTCCGCCCTGCACCGGGCACCCAGGCCCACACGGCCCGACAAGGCGCGCAGGCTCGGGTACAAGGCCAAGCAAGGTAAGGACTTGTAGGGGTATGGCTAACCTTCCTGCTGCTTGTCCAGCCGGGGCCATTACTACCCATTGGGGCCATTGCTACCCATTGGGGCCATTGCTACCCATTGGGGCCATTACTACCCATTGGGGCCATTGCTACCCATTGGGGCCATTGCTACCCATTGGGGCCATTGCTACCCATTGGGGCCATTGCTACCCATTGGGGCCATTACTACCCATTGGGGCCATTGCTACCCATTGGGGCCATTGCTACCCATTGGGGCCATTACTACCCATTGGGGCCATTACTACCCATTGGGGCCATTACTACCCATTGGGGCCATTACTACCCATTGGGGCCATTACTACCCATTGGGGCCATTACTACCCACTGGGGCCATTACTACCCATTGGGGCTTTGGTTTGCTTGGTTAACAGGAGCTGAGTGAGATGACTCCCTGCCCCCAGTGACTGGTCTGCCCTTCCAAGTCCTGCCAATGAGCCAGGCACTGTGCTGTCATCAGCAGTGCCCTGGGATACTGAAGAGCAATCTGGCTCAGGAACCGGACGAGTGACCACAGAGGGTTGACTCGATTCTGACATTCCATTGCCAAACATAAAAACAGCACAAAGAGGCCGCAGCGACATGCGGGTCTATGCCCGTGTTTTATTGTCCAAAATCAGCATCAATTGCTCTCAGTAGTAATGGTTCCTGAGCTAGTCAAGTCTGAAGTACTCCAGCGAATTGCAGATGACACATCAGCCAGCCTGGTTCTCTCCCAATCCTGGCCAATCCCAGTTACAGAGATTGAATTTATTCCCCGTATGAAGCTCATCATTCACAGGTTGATGCAGGCTGTACAGTTTGTGCTTGTACAGCCAAATCAGAGCAACTGATTGTTAGACCACATCTAGAGTATTATGTTTAGTTCTCCCCACCCCCCCTTAGGAAAGATGCTAGACTCAGAGAGAGGATGCAGAGGAGATGTATTGGAAAGATGAGTGGCTTGACCTGTGAGCAGAGTGTGGAGCCTATATTTACTGGATGAGAATATCAAGGGCAGGTGTGATGAAGTTCTTTAAAATAATGAGGGATATTTTGGGTAGATTCGTAGAATTTATTTCCACTGGCAAGTCAGTAAACTAGAGTATCGAATTAGCAGGAGAGAGGGGTAGGAGGATTTTTTGTTCCACAAAATTGTTAGGATGTGGAATGCCCTACTTGGAACAGTGATCAAGGTAGATATGTAAACAGGAACAATTTGAGGAACATGGGGGGGTGGGGGGGGAGTTGTTTTAAATAGCTTGGATACAATTGACTAAATAGCTAAAGCTACCCTGCAGATAGATGATGTGATTTTCTCAGCTCCTCCTTTACCTGCAATCTTGGATAAAACTGGAGGCGGTCGGGGGGCTAGTGAGAAGGGCATCGGGGGAATCAAGTGTGAAGGTTACAAAGCCTTATCTTGCAGTTTGGATAAATATCGGGAATAGGATTGTGCCTTTCCTCTCCCACCCTAGTTTATTTTTTGTTTGACTACATGCAGAACCCCATCACTGTGCTCAAATTTATCGAACCAGAACATTCAACACCTACACGTAAAACTTTCCGTGACTAGAATGGAATATGCACTCTCCTTCGAGGGACCACCCTGCATACCTAATTCTGGAGAACATTAGGTGTAGGCTAGCAAGAGCCAAGGCTTGGGACCCCAGAGTGCGTTGGCGTGCTGCTGGATACTAACCGGCCAAAAACCGCAACCCTTGCCATTGAAGCATTGTCTAGCAAGCTTCTCACTGCTTACCTAGCTGAGACTACCTATCTGTTAGGGCTTTGGCTTGCAGGGTTAACAGTAGATGAGTGGGAAGACTACCTGCAAGCACCTGTCTGCCCCTCTTAGTCCTGCCGATGAGACAGGTTGGCTGGTATGCCATTAGCTCTGCACTGTACTTCAGGCTTGCCTGGCTTGGAAACCATTGCTACCAAGACCATCTCACAGGGCTGACTCGATTCCGACATTCCTTTGCCAAGTATGTCATGTTGAAGCCACTTCAGCTGCAAGGAGACTCCGTTTACTGACCACACCACTCCTTCACAGAAGACACATTTAGGGGCAGTGAGGTCTATTTTAACTCCACACAGATTGAACCTTGAATGTTGCAGCTTTCTCATCAAATCATTCCAGGTGATGCCTTTACCAACTGAGCCATCAAAGGACTGTTAAAGCTGCATTTTTAAAAGGCCTTAAGCAATAGATACTAGTGCTTTGGAGCGCAGATTCCTCCATAGGAATTGTTCTGGTTCAATATTTGGAAAACATTGTTGGTGTATCGAGGTAGTCTGACTGAACTGTTGTCATACTAAAAGTTTTCCATGTTATTGCATGGTAGCAAATAGACTAACTATTGTTGCTTAAGTCTATGTTGGCAACAGTGGGGATTGTGATGCAGAAGTGGGCAAAAATGTTGCTTGCCTGTATTATGCAAGGTTATTGGAATAGGGCTACAGAAAGGCCCATGGTAAGTCCTTACAGTCTTCAGCACTTTGTTATATGTGCGGTCTTGGGGAGCAGCGGTAGGGGGTGGGGAGAGAGAAATTGAGAGACTGAGACAGGTGACAAAAGTACTGAGACCAAGCACAATGTGGTACTTTAATCTCACCAACTCCTCACAGAATATTTTTTTTGATTAACCTCATGTTTGTACAGTATTTTGCATGCTGACCAATTACGATTATGATTTTTCATGTGTGTTTTTTCTGTTTCATTGATGTGTCCAAAATTTGCTAAACCCGGGTTACGACTGCTCCACAGGTTATGTTATCTACCGCATTCGGGTCCGTCGTGGTGGTCGCAAACGTCCAGTGCCTAAGGGTGCTACCTACGGTAAACCAGTGCATCATGGCGTCAATCAACTGAAGTTTGCCCGTAGTCTTCAGTCTGTTGCTGAGGTATGGGCTGTTGCTATGAAGTTTTATAAATTGTTTTGTATTTTTTCTGTTATAATTGTTTCTTTTTCAACTGTAGGAATTGTTTTTAAATTAAAAAGTAAAAACCTAGTTCTTGATACTTTGCGGAGTCCTGTAGCTCAGTGGTTAGAGCACTCGCTTTGCAAGTGAGAGACCTGAGTTCAATTCCCGGCAGAAGGCGAAACCTTGGGCAAGTTTCCTTACTCCACACAGAGCCTATTAATAATCCTTCCAAAACAAAACAATAATAAATTGGTCATTTTCAATCAACGACTGTTTGTGGGACATTGCTGTGCGCAATTGGCTGCTGCGTTCACCCACAAATATACAGTCAATTCACGTTACAGTGTGTTCTGTGAAGCGCTTTGGGACGTCCTCCTGACGTGAAAAGGGCTATATCAAATGCAAGGATTATTATTATTATTTAAATGCAGTAAACCCCTGCTTACCGTATTTCAGGTGTCCAGAGTTCGAACATAGGCCCGAAACCAAATAATGAGTGTAGATACCTGTTAGCCCACTTGCCTAGCACACGCCAATGCTGTGCTGCACAGCCTCACCAACCTTCCTGGTATTCTCAGTGGCCAAGAATAATGACTTTGACTTAGATTGTTCAAATCCCTGAAGCAGAAGATAGGTTATTCGCTATTTTCTGCTTGCGGGATTTAAAGGAATTACAATGCTGGTGCTGGCATTTGCTGCAATTTTCGAAAAATGTCAGTACTGGCATGTAATTACACAGTTGTAAATTTTGCTGGACCATATCCTCCTTAATAGTCCAGTTAGCCTAGGTATAAATGTAGGTTTAATTGCCATTCATATATTTCTTTGTTCCTTTGTTAACCAGGTTTACATTAGATGAGATTTGAGATTAAAAATCACTTGTCTGATAATTAAATTAGCAGGATTAAGGTTCAAAAATATATATTTTAAACCCTAATAGTCGAGGTCCTAATTATGATAAAAAAAACGATTTCCATTTGACACCGGACACATCCAATTGAGGGTAGTATTAATTTAAGCCTATTGCTGGAACATTTTGCTATCCAACAGAGCTGTAGTGATTTAGAACTCTCAACTATGAACTTTTATGATAAATAAGAATCCTTAACATTTATAGTGTCCTAGGACTTTCCTTTCAGGAAATTATTTATTCTAAATTATTTGTTCACTTGTATTTCAGTTCTGAGAATTCTTCAACTGACCTAACCCATGTCCATATGATTTTTTTTTCTCCCCTTAGGAACGTGCTGGCCGTCATTGCAAAGCCCTGAGAGTACTCGCTTCATACTGGGTGGGTGAAGATTCAACTTACAAGTTCTTCGAGGTTGTTCTTGTTGATCCGTTCCACAAAGCTATTAGGCGCAATCCTGATACCCAATGGATCACAAAACCTGTGCATAAGCACAGAGAGATGCGTGGCCTGACATCTGCTGGCAAGAAGAGCCGTGGTTTGGGCAAAGGTCACAGATTCCATCTTACTATTGGAGGTTCTCGTCACGCTGCATGGAGAAGGCGCAACACTCTGCAGCTACGTCGCTACCGTTAATATGTATGCTGTATATTTCCTTTGGCAATAAAACATCTTGTTTGAAGCATATTTGCCTGTCCAGTTTTACACCTAAAATTATGTGAAATTGGGGTGTGATCTGTTCCTTTTTTTAAAAAGAAAGTTTATTTTAATACCTTTCTTGATTTTGTTGTAATACTTGTTTTTGAGTTTTCCTTTTTTCCAGACTTTGAGATCATCCAGAATATTGATGCATCCACTTTTTCTTTCTGATTTATTGAATACTGCTTCTTTTTAAGATTTGCAGTCAACTTGGTAACGCTCATTTTTTTGTGTAATTTAGTTTTGTCCCCCAGGTATGAACTTTACGAAATGTATTGGATCATGGTGATTGGAGTGCTTTAGAGTATTTTAGTACCATCATAAGGAAACCACAACAAATTAGACTGAATGAATTTACAAATCAAAATAGCAAGGAATCTTGTTTTTCTTCTTGTGCTTTAATGCACCAGAATTTCTAAGCTATGTAGCTTTTCATGAATTCATGAAACCATCAATTACATGTAAGTTAAATGTCCAGTCAAAGATCCTGCATTGTGAAAAGGTATTTAAAGATTCTACTCTGAAAATCCTTAGAAGCAAATTATATTCTACTGCAATGAAACCACAATAACCCAAATTCCTCTCCTCCCCTCGCCCCATAAATTCAATCGCTTTTCACATGCCCAGGTCCTTGGGCATGATTCCCATTTAATTACTTGATTTACCTCTTGGTCTCGTGCTTTTCACGTGTTTAAATTTGCCAGTAGTAAATGAAAAACTTGTAACAAAGGACTTGCAACAAAATACAAATTTGAAATAATCAAGTTAGTGCTCTTACCCTCAACTCCATGACCACCGATGTCCTGACAGTCTGCCTGTCTGACATTGAGTACTGGACGAGAGACAACTTTCTTCAGCTCAACGTGCGCAAAACTGAGGCCCTCCTGATTGTCTCACGTCAGCGTCTCCGCACCTCAGGCGCTATCAGCATCCAAGGCTGCGCTCTCCACCTCAAAGCCACTCAGGAACCTCGAGGTTCTGTTCGACCCTGAGCTGTCCTTTCTCCCTCATATTCGCGCCACAACTGGCGCCGTCTTCCATCACCTCCGGAATATCGCCAGACTACGGCACTACCTCACCCCTCACGCTGCTGAAACTCTGGTCCACGCCTTTATCACCTCAAGGCTGGACTATGGGAACTCTCTCCTCGCCGGCCTTCCCGCCACCTCCCTCCACAAGCTGCAGGTCATTCAGAACTCTGCAGCTCGTGTACTGTCCCGCACCAGGCTTCGCGACCACATCACTCCCACCCTCGCTCGCCTCCACTGGCTCCCCATCCCCCAGAGGATCGAATTCAAGATCCTCACCCATTCACGGCCTCGCTCCCTCCTACCTCTCTGACCTACTATCCCCCTACCTACCTGCCCGTACCCTCCGTTCCTCTGGCTCCGGTCTGCTCCACATCCCCCACCCTAACCGCCCTACCATCAGTGGCCGGGCTCTCAGCCCCGAGGCTCTGGAACTCCATCCCCCAGTGCCTTCGCCTTGCTTCCTCCCTTTTCTCCTTCAAGGCCGGTCTCAAGACCTTTCTCTTTGACCGTGCCTTCAGCTCCCCTCTCGACTCTCTACCCCCTCCTCGCTCCCTCCCCTCCCTTCCCTCCCCTCACCCTGACCATTTCCCTCCTGCTTGGGTCCCGACCCAACTGTCCAGAGCCTTGGGACATCCTCTCGATGTGAAAGGCACTCTATAAATGAAATATTGTTGTATTAAAGCTGACAGCTAGGATATCAAGCCCTATGGTTGGCTTAGAGCTTTGGTTAATTTGCTGATGCTGTGTCAGCTTGGCTCAGTCGGAAGCACTCTTGAGTCAAAAGGAAAGGTTGCCGGTTCAAGCCCCATGCTGAATCTTTGAGCTCATAACACTAGCGAAGGGCCGAATGATCCGTGTCTACCCTGCACTGCATTTGAAGGCCTGGAGATCCTACAAATACCCAAGGTCACCACCTTCTGCCTCTCAGGGCCACCACCACACACAGACACGGAGGGAGACAGAAACAGACAAGGACACACAGACACAGAGCGAGAAACACAGACCGACAGACTCACAGATACACACAAACAGGAGAGAGAGACACACATTCACTCACACAGACATACAGAGGAGAGACACAGGCAATCTCAACAGTGGGACCTTGGGGTGAGCGAAGCCCATTTCCCGCTTGCGCTGCACCGTGCACTCCTCATACCAATGTCTGCATATTCATTCATGTCCACTAACCTCAGCTACAAATCCATCCTCTCCCTTCACTTAGCTAATTAGGGTTTGCTGCTCTGACCACTCGGTTCAATGATCGGTGGCCAAGCCTTTAGTTCCTACGTCTCTAACTTTTGGAACTTTCTCTGCCAATTCTTTCTCGCCCTCTGTTTAATTCTTGCTTCAAATCCCACCTGTTTGAACTCTTATGGCCATATTCAACACCCTCCCCACCACCACCCCACCTTTGCATGGTATCCAACCCTATCCCTGTGAGACATTGCGAGACATTATATAAAGGCAAGTAGTTTTTCAGCAGGGTTCATTGCATAATGATTAGCAATGGCAATCCAGGCTGGTCTTAGGGGTGGACCTGAAGAGTTCCCACCAGATATTTGGATATCTGGAAAAACTAAAGACTTAAGGGAAATTTGTGTTCAATTTAAGCTGCACTGACATATTAGTTGGGTCTGTCGTAGCTGTTGCAACTGAATGCCTTGAGCCTTTATTATGCCTTCAGGAAGCTGGGAACAATCCAAGACTTTGAATATTCGCCATCCATCTTTCGAATGGCCATGAATTCTTTATAGTCAAAGCTCAGTGAAGCCTAACTAGAATGCATGTCAAACAGATTGTTTCTACCTTTGAAGCAGTGATTTATTTATTTTTAATGTTGTGTTTTTCTTGTTTTTCCTGGTAATCACTGCTGCTCCAGGGTCTGTGGTGTAGCAGACCAGATACAGTACATGTATCCTATATACAACCTCTTGCAACAGAATTGCTACGTGCTGTTAACATGGCCTCATTCAGTCAATTCCTCTACTGATCAAAACAAACTGATGCAAATAATTGCTGCTAGCCATTGCCATATTAGTGAGTATTCCATACTGGAGGTCACTTTATTTTTATTAACTCCAATTGTGACTGACTTTGAGCTGAAGTACTAGTTGATAGAACCTCCAGTTTCTGCAGGGTTGGATTGCCTTATCTCGGAATTAGGAACAGAGAAACAGGACAAAGCCATCCAGCTATCATAACTTATTAGATCTTGGTAGATCTTTCAATCCCATTTCCCCACATTTCTGAGCTGAATGCAAAGTACACAAACCTTGTTAAGAGGTCTATTGTTTGCTCTCTCCAATTTTCATTCAGCCCTGCTGGGCCTTAGTGTTTGCATTTTCCAGACAGGTACAGTCATTGCTGGTGCAATGGGATCATTGTACAATTGTTGATTTAAGGTTCACTGTTTCAGTTTTGCAAGTAAATCTCCTCTGATATGTGGTGTAGCATATTGGATCAGCTTTCTTTACATTAGAGTGGATGCAAGCATCTTTCACAATTTTGTTGTGGTTGAAACTGTTGCAATTCCCAGTTGAAGACTTATTTTTTGTTTAATTTCAATTGCAGCTACATATTACTATACAAGGATGCTGTACCAGCACTTGGGATACAAGTTCGGATCTGATTATAGTCCTTCTCCCCTCACTGACCACTGTACATATTCAATGGAAAGACAGTTAGCTGCAATAATTGGGACCAGCTCATTGCTGATAAGCAAATAGTGTAGACATTTGGACATCACGCAAAATAAATTGTCTACAGTTCTAACTGAAAAGAATTCCATCAGGAATTTCATTGACAAAAGGTTCTGATGAAAGTTCATTGCCCTGAAGTGTTAACTCATTTTCCTCTCTCCATAGATGCTGCCTGACCTGTTGCGTGTTCCCAGCGACTTCTGTATATCACTTTACAGAAATCTCTGAGAAAATTCTTGAGATGTTTTGTTGTGATCAGGTGCTGTATCAAATATAATGATGATTATTATTTTCATTAATATAAATACTTGTAAGGGAAAATGGAAATGTCACACTAATGCAGCAGAGGGTGCTCTTCTTACTTTGCACAGAGTATAGAAAGAATTACATTGCATTTAGATGTGCCGCACCCTAACTCAAAGTGCTTTATGCTCTAAAAATACTGACTATAAAGATTAGAAAGGATTCCCTTTCCCAGAATAGATAGATTTAATCTTCAAAACAATTCCACATAGGAATATCGTTGTGTACATAAAAAGGAAAACATATTTTTAAGTGAATAATGCAAGCTTGAATTATCTCATGCACTTGTGGGGATTGTAGGGGAGCAAGATGACCAAAGATGTGCTCAAAGTTCTTGGACTTTGAAGGAGGCCTGGAAAAGGGTGAAGCAAAAGGATTCTGTAATATAGTTCCAGAGGGTGGGGGCAGAAAGCCTGAAAGCCCAACTGCCGATGATGGTGCAAGCAGGGCGGGGGACATAAATCAGGCCAGTGCCTGCCAAGCGGAGGGAGTGGGTGGATTGGCAAGGTTTGAGAAGGTCACAGAGGTAGAGTGGGGCAAGACCGTGGAGGAATTTAAAAAGGAAAATGAGGATCTTGAATTCGATCCTCTGGGGGATGGGGAGCTAGGGTAGCTGGGCAAGGACCAGGTGATAGGCTCTCAGAGCCTAGTGAGGGAGCAGACATGAGTGGCAGAGTTTTGGATAGTCTGCAGCTTGTGGAGGGAAGAGTTGGAAGGTCTGGTGAGCAGAGAGTTGACGTAGTCAAGCCTGGATGTGGTGAAACCATGGATAGAGATCCCGGCCACCCAAGGGGAGAGGTAGTGGGACCTAAGGGGAGAGGTAGTGCGACCCAAAGGGAGAGGTAGGCAATGCTGTGGATGTGGGGGAAAGCACATGCAAGACAAAACATGTCTTTCATGTAAACCAAGCAAGACACAGCCCTAGCAGGTAGGGTGGTCCCAGCTGGACAAA